ATATATATATATATATATATATATATATATATATGTACTGCACCTCGCGTACTCGCGATACGCGACGAGTTTTAGGCACTTTAGAACGTTACGTACGCGGTGCTAAATACCGTAACATGCTTAGCCCGTACTTTGCTCCATCGATAAGACATTATCTGCGACATTCTTCTTTCTATTATCGTGCACTATCGTTTCCACGCCGTGTTATTCTGGCACATACCCGTCTAGCGATCCGTAAACATCTTCTTTGGAAGCTCGTCGAAAGTTCTGATTGCGTTCCCCGCTGGGACACGATCGATCCCCTCCTCATCGTTTCGCGCGAACCTTTCTCGACGGTTTTGCACGCAGGTAGCACCTTTATCGGTAATAATTCTCTCGTATCGATCTCGTATGAAAAAAAGGGGAACATATATCAGTCCAAGAAAATATATCAGAAGGGAGAAACAAAGGAATTGGAAAAAGTCTGTCCTCCGTTCCGCGTCGTTGTTGTTAAATCGAACGAATCGTGTGTGTATCTCTCGCTGGCGGTTATACTTCTTCCCTCGTGTTGCAAGCGTGTCACCGCGAGTGTAAAAACATAATTACGAATCGTAAGCATAGCGATTATCACAGACATCAGCTGCAGCTTCTGGACGTTTATGGTTGCAAATCATAGGTTCTTCGTGGTCAGAAGTCTCTTCCTCCTCCACCCTCGCCCGCGTTATCCAAGACCAGTTTCGATTTAAACGTGGGAGATGATCTGGCTAGAGGAAGGCGTAATCGATCGGTCACGACGATTGCCTTTTTATCGTCGACAATTAGAAGACTGTACAGGAAACACTTATGATAAACGTTGGAAGTTTCAGTTAACACAGATTCAGTAACAAGTAACACAGATATCGGTACTCGATAGTATTCCTCGGTTATTGACGTTCGTCTCGCCAACGAATCCTTGCTGATCGATAAAGTGAAACGGACGTTGTCCCGCTATGTTATTCGGCTATCGCTAATGTATCTACGTTCGACGATCCGAACCGGATCGTACGTTAACGACGGATTCACGGCGGTAATGCAACGGCTAATCACATTCAAAAGGCTAAAGAGTCTAGAAGAGTTATACCGATGTGAAGTTCTACGAGTTTCTACCACACCGATAAAAAGGATCGCTCGGTTTCGCTAAAACGGTAGCAAACGGTTGTTTCTCTATGGAAATCTGGTCTTGGATGGGAAGCATACACGTTGGGAACCAAATACCTTTCGAAGTGGAACGCGACGGAAGAATAAGTATAGTTAGTGCCGTTTAACGATGCCGTTCTTACGCGATATATCTCGGTGGGTGCTACTAGGTTCTGCGAAAGATGCCTCGTGCCGGACGAGAACCGTACGCGAATAGCGTTATTGCAGTAGGCCGCTTCTGTCGTAGCTGACCGATCTGAACGCGTCTTCGACCAGGTCCGTCAGGCACCTGACTGCCTGCAACAGAGCCGCGAGGAGAAGAGACAGCGAAAGAGAGATTAGTTTGCTAGGCACTAACGCGTTCTCCGAGGAACTTTGACTCCTGCTCGATATCTTCTTCCTCTTCCTCTTGTCGGAACTTTTACCGCCACCGCCGGCCTCCTTCTCCTTCTCCTGCACTTTCTCCGCGCACGTTGCGCCGCGCCTCGTTCGGTTCGGCGATCTCTCACGCGCACGCGGCGCAACATCTCTCGAAACTTTCGGCCTCTTCTGCTCGGTCGCGGTGCTCGACACGGCGATACACCGATTCGAAGGGACAGACTCGAGTTTCCCGCGAAGATCCTCCATTTTCGCGTCCGCCATCTCGTCGACGGTCGATCGTTTCTTATTCCTCAGAGACTTGTTCCGCGGAGCAGTTTGCAGCATTTCCTCCGACCTTGCTTTCCCGCTCAGGTCCGGAAAGTTCCCGTTCGCCGACTCGAACAACAGATTCTGCAGAGAGCTCTTGCCAGTCTCGCGCTTGTCGGAGCAGTCCAAGTTCGAGAACGTCGAGTTCTCGTCCAGGGAGTTTGTCCTACTGTGACACTTGTCGCGGCAGAACAGTTTCTTTTCAGCGCACGTGGTGTTCAGGTTGTAGTCGATGGTCGTTGGCTCTTCGGGTTCTGACAAGCACAATCTGATGTTCTCTTTAGTCTCCTCGAGAACGATTCTTCTGGGCAAAGTTTTGTTCAGACTGTTCGGGATGAAGTTCATGGCTTTCTCGTTGCAATTCGGATCGGCAGCTGCCTCGCGAAAGACGGTCGAACCGTCTGCGCAGTCAGTGTTGGAACGATCGTCCACCGATCCTGATTGATTGTTCTCTTCTACGTTGGTCGTGTCGGATGACTCTTCGTTGGAAGCGTCGAACGCGCCAGCACCAGCGTCGTCGTCTTCGTTGTCGTTGTCTTTCACCGTTATGGTCTGACTTATCCAAACTTTTTCCTCCTCTTCTTCCTCTTCCTCTTCCTCCTCCTCCTCCTCCTCTTCTTCGTCGTCGTCGTCTTCGTCGTCTTCGGATACCAGGGTCGAAGGTTTCCTCTTGTTTATCACAGGAACGATACCGTCAGCGTACAGAAGGTCCTGGACCTCGTAAAGACTCTTCTCGATGCTCGGACTTTTGTACAAAAGGTTTCTCAATTCCGGTATGTCGAGGTCCTGCACGTGGAGCAAATTCTGCTCGATATTCAGGAGGCTCTCCTCTATCTGCACGAGGCACTGTTCGATGTCACAGGCTGGTTCAGAGTTTAGGTCGCTCTTCTCTTCGGAATGATCGTTCTTGACCGATTGGTCGTCGCCCGCGTGCTCGACGTTCTTCGCCGAGTTCTGCTTCTGATCCTCCAACAGGCGATTGCTCGCGTTCAAGCGTTCCCTCCAAGACTCGATCGGCCAGCATGCCGTCTGCAGCAGTTCCCTCTGCTGCGTCTGACTGTCGTAAAACACTCTGTAGTTGCTGTGACTATTGGCCACCTCGTAATTTATCTGCTGTTTGATGTCCCAACCCAATTGATCGGCCTCCGCGTATTCTCTGTTACCTCGCTCCCTGTTCTCCGACGACACGCTGTGATCACCGTGGCTGTTGGCCACGGAGTAACTAGCCATTTCTTCCCGATTGATCTCCAGATAGTTCTTGACAGCCAGTTCCGAGTACAACTCGCTGTACCTAGTGTGACTGCTCGATTCTTTGTACGCGTTGCCGTGACTGTTTGCCAGCGGATAGGTGGTACTCAGGTCGAAGTCCTCCCGAAGTCTTCGCGAGATTACTCTCGCTCTGCTGTAAATCGAAGATTCGTCTTTACCGTGACTGTCGGCGTCGTCGTTCTCGTCGTCGACTTCCGTCGCTCCTTCCAGGTATGGAATTTCCTGCGTTTCGTCAGGCACGACGACGCCAGACTCCAGACAGGAATCGTCCATCAGTATGTAACCGTCCAACACGTTCTCGTCCAAATCGATCCAATTCCTCGTACGATCTTCACCCCATTTCTGCCCGTGTTCTGCTGCCGTATCGTCCTGTTCGTTCGCCTGGTTTCGTATCGGTGGATCGTGCACGTGTATTTGCACCGGGCAGAGGACATCGGTTCTCCCCTCGACGTCGCAGGAGCGCGCTGGCGGCGTGGTCGCCACCAGCGGCGCCACCTCGTCCAAAAGGGGTTCGCGGGATTCACGGTACCTGTAACCGGGACACGGGGTGTTCACTGGAGAATGCGAGAGGAGATTGACGTAGCCTCTGCCTATGAGCGATCAGGTGATCGTCGTTGTGTCTCGACTGTGACCCATCGCGGAGTCCTGGCTCTCGTTCAGCGCCTCGTTGCTCAGTCTAGTTCGGTTGAGGGTGTATACAACCTGTATATACGGGGAAGATCAACCAACAAATTTATACCGAATTCGTAAAATTGGATCGACGATAAGTGACAAATGAATAAAATGTTTTTGCATACCTTTGGATGAGTGACTCTAACGTCGCGAAATTCCTCGGTGAACGTCAAAATGTACACGCAGAATGCCACCGCGCACAGCCACTCAGTGATGGTGCTAGCCACGTGCAACTCCCATCCGCCATCTTCCTTGTACCATTTCCGCGGATTCGTACCTAGAAACACGGACACGCGGCGTCAACACGCGAGGGAAGAGCGTGTTCAGAAGAGAGGGGAACGCAACGAACCAACCCTTATAGGCCAAGCGTGCCAGCACGCCGGTGATGAGAGTTATGACGAAACAAACGGTGCAAAACGTGGACAATGCGGTTCGAAGATGCGCCAGTCTCAACGAACATCCGAGCGGATGAAGGTAGAACGAGCATACCGCCTGAGAGCAAAACACACAGAGAGAAAGAGTGAAAAATGGGAGACACTGTTTTCAGTCAACGAAAGCTGATTTACTCGCGACGATGCGACGCGTTGTTCTTGTTGATAAATCAGCTTTCCTGAAAATTACGCAAGAAAATCACGTATCAGACTTCGGTACCTCGGCGTACGATCCAATTACGCGGCACGACTGCCGTTTCATCTACGTTCTTTCAGCTGATTTTAATTTTCGTTTGCCCCGGGGGGATTTTCGAAACGATGCGAGATGCAAGCTCGTAGACATTGAATTCCGTGATTTAATTTGAGAATTAATTTGAGAAAAGTTGGATCGTACCTGCGTCCAAAAGTATGCAGTTCCGCCGCCGAAGCATAAAAGAGCGCCAATAAAGTGAACCACGATCACGGACGTCTCTTGAAAGTTTGCGACCATCGAGAGGCCGAAGGTCGACGTTAGGCCAAAAATTAAGGCCCAATGGTTCCATTTTGGTAGAGATTGCTGCAAGCTGAACGTACTCGAGCATTCTTTTACTTGAGAATACCTTATGTAGACGACGAACGACACTGAAACAATTCATGTGATGAAATTGTCAATGCGATACTATGTACAACGTTTTGTCCTCGATATTTTCTAATCGTCTCTTTGGATATTATTCTACGAGAAATAATCAACCAGCACAGGTTTAGATCTCTCCCCCTTTTTTTTTCCATTCAACGTTTCGTTCCTAACATTGGGAAATGCTATTTTTGCACATTTCTCGCTTATGTCCCAGAGAGACACTCGCCGTGTCTATCGTTTCCCCTTGCCGCGAGAATATCGGAACACACAATCGTCGACGCGCACTTACTCAGCATCGCGATCATGTTGATGAACTGGGCGAATATGCAGCTTTCCGGTGCATAGGTGGCTGCATCCGAGATATAGGGAAAGCCAGCTTCCACGTGACCCAACAGAACAGCTATTACGTAACTGAAAAGTTCAAGCGATTTTTTATTTATACTTTCTTGTATTTATATATTTATATTATATTCTTATATTAGAATATAATATAAATATATAAGTATAGATATAGAATATAATATACAATAATAATAAGAATATAATATTTGTATTATATTCTTATATTTCTTATATTTATACTTTCTTGTATTCACGAAATATTTATTTACAAATTTTTTTTAAATGAAAACACTTTTTATTGGACGTAACGACAGAAGATATGACAAATATCGCCTTAACACTTTGGCATTTCTGTCGGCTAGAACGAAGAAGGTTAATTATAAATGTAACTAGTTATCTGCATATTCAACAGGATGCAAAGCAACTCGAATAAGCGAGGATTATGATTCAGCAGATGCTAATTTGATACTTTATCTGCTTACGTTACTTTATTTGCTTACGAGACTGGCGTATAATATTATTATTATTATTATTTTTTGGATTACGCACAATTTAATTTCACGAACTTCAAGTTGCAATATCGCAAGAATTTTAGTCGAAATATCATAAATGTACGGAACAGCGTTCATGCCAATAACATAGATTAGTGCAATTTTCCACGAAGGATGCTTTACGCTTTGCGCCGTACAATCAGTCGAATTTAAATGAAGCAAGAGCCATCCGTGCATAAACAGAATTCATTCGTCTACGATATCCAATGTAATCAAAAATAGCTGCGAGTTATTTCACCGGGAGTCTAAAGTGAACAGAATTGACGGCAGATTGTGAAGAGGCGAAAATTGCGAAGTAACTAGAGATAAGAACAAACAAGAAACAACGATGTTTCAACGAACAAGAAAAAGAAACAGCAGTTTAATCGAACGTAGTGAAAGTAAGTTCGCTTACGTCAAAATGAAGACAGAGGGCAACGAAATGAAGAGGATAATCGGCAGATAATGGAGGTTGACCAGGAAGTCTTCCTTGTCCATGTTTCCGGTGTGCGTTTGTGGTTGCTGTCGGCTTTCCCGCCGGAACCAGTGACGTCAGGCGACGACGTCCGCGGACGACGCCGCTATCGTCGAGACACACGCGTCGTTGCACGTGTCCACCAACTGCCAGCACTCATGCTCGTCCGTCTTATTCTACTAGCGTCCCCGGGGAAGCGGGAATCCGCCGCTACGATCAGTGGAACATCGACCGCACTGCAATTCGGCTGCCATTAACGTCCTTCCTCCATGTACCTTCGACCAAGAAGTAACAATCTGTCACGTGGCAACCGAGCAGCAAACTGTTACTGTCCTCGAAATGTCGTTGTTTCTACGAATTTCAATTCGTAGCGTCTATATTTACGGTTCGAACAGAATTTTGTCTGCGTTTTCGTCCGCGGAGAGTAAAAGATTCTGAGAGTTTGAGGCTCAGAGAGGTCAGCTCGTGTATTTTTTTTTTTTTTTTTTTTTTAATATTAAATATTGGAAAAATTTAAAGTTCGTCGCAGCAAGCTCTGCTTCGTATCACGCGTAATAGAACCGCAGCTAGACCACACAGAAGAGCTGCGCGCCAGAAATATCGTACGCGATGTCCCATTATCCGTGGCACACGTCACCGTGAAAATGTTCGTCGACGAGAGAGAGAGAGAGAGAGAGAGAGAGAGAGAGAGAGAACGACCCGTTTTCGACGTTAAATCGTGCGAATGTTCTCACGCGGGCGTTGTCTAAGAGCAGAGGAAAGGGAACTCTCGCGAGGAAACCTTACGTAGCAACGACACTCGAGAACAGTCGATATTTCCAATACTCGATAAAATGTGCGAGAACGAGTTGCCCGTTTACCTTTGACCTTTCCGTTGTTCCTCGACGAATCGTTCACGATCCCTCGATTTCTGGTTGCACCGAGAAGCTGGTAGCTCCTTTGAAAAGGATCGCACGCAGGGTCGAGGGTCTTCTTAGGCGCATTCAACAGCAGCAAGGACACTGTTCACGCTATTCTCACGATGGCACGAAACGCGAGAATCCCTCTTCGCGAAATCCCTTCTTCTTCTTCTTCTTCTTCTTCTTCTTTTTTCTCGCTTTCGTTCTCGATTCTCGTGCAAACACGCGACGATTCACGAGCTGCCGTTCGAGAGGGGCTACAGCGAGCAGAAAACACAGAGGTTATGGCCGACTACGTGCGCGATCGATGTTTTGCCAGCGAGAACGGCGCTCTCAGCAGCTGCGCCGCGAGACTGACGCCGTCGTCGTTACTGACAAACGTTCTCCAAGATACGATTTATTCTGATGCTCTCTGTCCGCGAACGTGTCGCGATAATATGCACGTGTGCACACGTTCGCGAAAACGCTTATCGGCACGGTACCTTACCTAGATAATCGGTTTCGCTTTACGACTGGTTACGCACGGATTTCCTCTGACTTTACGGCACTGCAAATTCTTTCCACTTCCAGGTCGAATGTGTAACGCAAAATATTCGCATAGCGACCGAATACATCGAGACGGAATTCCATGAACACGTTTCCGGAGCGTGATCGGGAAGGCAGGCTTTGTTTCTCGATGAAAATCGATTCGAAGCAAAACGCGCGATATTTATTTATTTATTTTTAAATGAAAATCTCGTTCAAAAATCAAGTAAATGGTGGATTAAATGCCAGAAACAGAAAGATAAATTTGAGGTATGATACATATATCTTGATTTGAAGATTTTTAAGTTTAGAAATTCGACGTTCTTGTACCAACTTTAGTCACGTTCCTGTGAAATCTCCGCGTGATTCAAACCAACGACAGATCGAGTGAGTAGGAAGGAAGATAAATCACGTTTGTCCAGAGAGTGTTCTTTCGTACGCGAATGTTTTGACGCGGTAAATATCGCTGGATGATAACGCAAACATCGTGGTCACGAATTTCAACGTTGACTCGCGCCTCGCTTTTGCAAATTTGGAAACCGATTTGAACGATCTGGGAGCGGAACAACTTCACGCAGCGGGTTTTATCGACCGCAGGAACAACGAAACGTCGGCATCTGTTGGCAACGGGAGCGATAATCGAAATATATATATATATATATATATATATATATATATATATATATATA